AATGTAAGCATCCGATCAAAGTACTGAATACATAATACTTGAAGACAGTGAAAAGACACATTCCAAGAAACACTTAAGGTACTGCTCAGCGTATCACCTAGCTGATGAAGGCAGAACAGTGGGCAGATCAAGCACTGACATTCCGATGAAAGGTTATTATAAAGCCTGAACAGCAATGGCTACTACTAAAATTTCAAGAACAGTCTGAAAGAATATATTGTAAATGCTAAAAAGTTAGAGGCAAGGATTGTGTTCTCCCCCAAACTAGACTACACAGGTACCTTGTTCAGTGAAGCTTCAGCTACCTTGACATGACTGCATGGTCTTGAGAAGTCAAAACTTCACAAAATGATCTTGTCATAGAAGCCCAAAGAACATTATCACCAGAAACACTGAGATAAAGTGTATGAAATTTCTGAGATCCAAACGTCTAACAGACAACTTTGAGATTCTGTGCTGGACTGGATATGAGATTCTATATCCATTATATAACAGAAAAGAGCTTTACAACTTTCCTATGAGCCATTACATCTGTTACTGATATGCAGGTATCACTGTCACATAAAATGCTATGCTTTATTTGGCATAACAGCATCAAAACTGTGGAGCATACTTAGCACCAGGGATTATACCAGACCAAAATGAGACTGCAAAAACATACCTAGGATTATTTTTCACTTGGCAGAGACTGTTGATCATGCAGCAGATATTCTCCATCACTACTCTAGGACCTCCTGAGCTAATAAAAAGCAGCTTTCCACAATGCTTAAGCAACAAGAAATCCAGGTCACCACTTACAGAGTGCAGGTCCAGAACAAAAAAGCACCCAGGAAAAAAAGGTGTTTTCAAGAGGAATTTAGTCACTGCTTAGGTTCTCAGACTGACATTTGCAACTAGCCAGAACAAGCAGAGAGCTGGGGGCAAACACAGCTCATTTCATCTGGTTTCAGATTCTCATGACAAGCACTTAACTCAGTATGAAGGTTAAAGTGAGATTTCCTAATGCCAGAGGCTTATTTTCTATTGTGGAACAGTCTGACTCTTGCTCCCATAGAGTAAAAACTCACACAGTTTGCACTGTCCTTGATGGCAAAAATATTTATAAAGCATCTTCCATTATTCACTTCAACATTTGTTGGATCATGTGGGAATGCACAGTATTTTGTAACTTACCTGTTTGCATGAGTAAGTGAAGAATATATACTGCCTCTTTGTCAGGGCAGCATATGGTATTTTAAATACCTGCACAGCAGAATACTTAATCATTGAGAAAAGACTTACTACATAGATCCGTTTGATAATTAACAGAATCCAGAAAAACGTATGCGCAGTTGAATACGTTCTGATGATCAGATTCCTTGTATCCAAAGGTTTATTTCCATGTGTTCCTCAGTTTGCTCCTGATCACTAATATTTATATTCTTCACAGAGCTGAGATAACAGGGCAGGAACTTTAGTACTCGGTAGTTTGCAAGGAACTACATTAGAAGTGCCAGTGAGGGAGTCGGAGCTCTGTATTGACATGTACAGTAAGACAAACCCATAAACTGAACAGCTATCTCACTAATAGTGATATGACAAGACAGACAGATTTCTCTTCTACACAAGTCTTTGATCCAAAATTTACTGGTCCTTACGAAAGCTTTCTTTTATGACTAAGATTTCACAAGTTTGCTAGGACACTTACAAAAGACAGCACAATTAGAATTTCATCAGCCAGACAGTGCTAGCAGAAGGCATTTTGTAAATAACTTTGCTGCCTTGAAAAATCCACAAAAGGATACTTTTTGTACAAATTATGATTTAGTCTCATTAGATCCTGTTCTTAGTTTTGGGCTGTGTAGACAGTGGCCCAGAAGTGTGTTCCCCTGCAAGCGGTTCTGGACCTGCAGAGATGAAAGCAATCATCATCCTGAATTTGAGGCAGTGTACTGAGGAAAAGCATATACATCTAAAATATACAGGGAGAGAGAAGGCTGTCCTTGAAGGAGGCAGTTCTCTTGTTCCTCAGTGGTACACAAGTTCTCATCTTCAGAAGGTTACCATCAGTATGGTCCCCAAAGGAAAGCAGTAGCAGAAATGGAAAGAACTCAGGGTGGTAACTTTAAGCTCTTATATCCCTACACTTCCATTTTTCTGAGTATGTACAGAAGTTGAGAGGCTGACTTCTATATGCTAGCTCTGGTTTATGCCAATCTGATCTCCGGAAAAACCTGCTCTTTTTTATTGCGCTATTCTGATACCTGTTCTCCTGCTGCTGGAACAAATCTATAGTCATTGCTATCTCTGAAGTGCCCATAAGTCCAAGACACCAGGAGCCCTGTCTATTCAGCTGCTGAGCCATATTTACAGAATATAAGGCAAAATCTGTAATGCTGCCAGAACTTCAAGGAAGCAAATCTTTAAAAACCATACAGCTTGCTGTATTATAACCAACTAAACTAACTACTGTTACAACCAACTATTAAACTACAGGGTTTAATAAAACTCTACAATCCCTATGAGCAATACTGCACTGTTTTGATAATGCTTGCATACCAACATATACTGCCAATATTACTTCCAGGACATACTGACAAATATATGCAAGGCCTCCAGACTTACAGCCGGTGTACAGTGATGTGATGACTTCAGAACACAGTTACCACTGTGCTAGAGTGGACGGCTAGAATATTTGACCAGCAGTAGAAGCTGAAGTTCAGAGAGGGGCAATATGACCAAGTCACAAGTTGCCAAGCATATTTCTTCTTCCTCAAGATACGTAAGTTGACTTCTGTTATATTGGTAGGCAGATCTCAGAAATGTCAAGGTGCAGCTGATCACTATTACCGGTGAAACTTTAGCAGTGAATTGGAAAGCAAATACACTACCAAGTCCCTCTAGTTTGGCAGCTAGGATCCTGTAGTTGATACACAGCAAAAGATATTCCGCAGTCATGCAAAAACACATCTCCAGAAATGGTGTCTTGATGAAGACCTTGTGTTTAAGGTTAACAGTGACATCACAGGGATGAATATTTTGCTATTAAAATCTTAATTATTGGGAAGAGATTAGCAAACTGTCAATCTAGGACCTCCCTGTATCCTGCATTTTCTTTCCAATCGGTATCTTGCTTTCAGTCTTCAGTATCAGAGAAGTTCAGAAGATTTAACTTTAAATGAATACAGAATCATTCCTGAAGAACAAGCCTACCACAAGATCAGAACTAACACTACATATAACTCTAGTGACGAAATGCATCATATTCACATTTCCTTGTTCTGAAGCTGGTACCAAACTTCACTGCATCGTACCTATTTGCAGCACACCAGAAGTTGTGGCACAAATACCAGTTGTCACGCATACTAGATGTTCCTTTGCTGGAACCTGGGCATAGTATTATGCCAGATCATGCCACACATAGCCTCTTTGACTCCGTCAGAATAGGTTTCTCTTCCTGAATCAGGTGCAGCTCAGGATTGCTCAACCAGAACTTGTTCATCCTCACATATCCAAGCGTGAGTAGGATGAACTCAGCAGTTATTTGTCAGAAACCTGCTATTCCATTCCAAATTAAGATAACATGCTGGCAGTCTACTAAGGACATAATACCAATAAATGACCAGGGCTTAAAACTAGGGTCTGTCACAAGCACATGGGTATAAGGCTTTTTATTTTGTTAAAAAGGGTAGCATTTCCATTTACTTTGTAGATGCCCAAACTGATTGCAGGTCTGTCTTGTTGAGGGCTTCCTTTTCACTTTTCATTAATTTCTCTGGCATCAGGCAATGAAGTTTCATCTTCAACATCAGGCAAAAAGGGACTAAGGGGAGGTCATAACCACTCACCTCCCATTATGTTGAGAGTGTACAATATTAAGCAAATATTTGCATTTTCTCATAAAACTTATTACAGCAATATCTTTCTCACTGACATACTGAAAGCAGGAGCATGGCTAGCAGTATCACTGGCAAGCATCATGCTGTTCTTTTTCCATTAGCCAGATGGTGCAACTAAAGCATTTACCACATTTACTGGAGGTAGAGTGAAAAGACAATTCAACACAGAAAATTCAGTAATGTAAAGGAATTACAGAAAGTAACCAGAACATATAAAGAATGCATTTGTCCCTCAAAACTTATTAAATTTTTATTGAATACAATTCCCAACTTTTAATTCCATATTTGACTAGTTTTTGAAAGAAGTCAAGAAACAGGTACTTGGACCTCTCTTGGCATCGTCCAGTTATTCACTATTGTAGTTAACTGGATGTTACATCTTGTTCCAGTTAATACCTCTACCTAGCACAGAATGCTTCAGTAGATTTATAATGAGCACCTCATACCATGCAATACAATTTTGTGCTTTATAATCCGCACTGCCCAATTCCATGTTGATTTAACTCCATACTGAAACAAAAACACCTTATAGAACCTTAAGAGTCTGGGAACATACTTAAAGAGATTACAGCCTCCTCTTCCAGGAAGTTACAATAAAGCCCAGCAATTACTTTCAAACTGCACTTTCAAACTAGGAAGCTGACTGCAAGATTTTACATATGAGGGCCCCATTACCATTAAAACATGAACTGACTGCTTGGCTGAAAATAGCAAGGAATATTATTCACCTTCACAGCACGATATGATGTTCATGTTCAATTTGGGGTGTGGAGAAAAGGGACCAAAATCTGACAATGGGACATTTTGCTTGATGGGAAGATTTACAAAGATATATTTCTACTCTTCTACTTAATTAACTACTGTTAACTTGGGGTTTTATATTTTATTACATCTTACTACTACCACAAAGAGTACCAAAAATTTAGGATGGAATTAAGACCCATTTAATTTAATGAAAAAATATTTGATTTCAGTAATTTTTCTGAGCAGGGGAAAGCTATTAATTTGCTGTAGCAGCTTAGGGACAGCATCACATTAACTGCTGTTGTATCAGTTGAGGTTTTGAAGAGTGTGATAAACTCTGCTTCTGATTAGTTTAACCCATTAAAAGAAAAAGCTTACAATGTCACTGCCGGAGAGTGATGATACAGAAGAGGCAGATGAGCCAGAAGATAACTGTTGTGTGCTAGCCAATGACAAAGCCAAGCGTTGGTTGTAAGGTGGTTCAGAGTCTCTGTTCTGTTGCTGTTCTCCATTGCACGGAGCTATCTGGTCTCTTATTTTCAACCTATTATCTGTTAACAGAAAACATAAGTATCATTTAAGAGCACAGAATATGAACACATGGGCCTTGAAGTCTAAGAAGAGCTGCAGTTTAACAACCTAATTGAAAAACAGGCCAAGAGAAAACTAGTCTTGGGTTAGAAAGTTACAAATTCCTTTTATTTTTTCCTACATAGATGAATGCGATTAATTTCAAGACATGAGTATTTTGAATTATATCAAATTCAAGAAAAATTAAAGTTGGTTTCAAAGATTCCTGCTATACATACCAAGTTCAGGTGATAAATTAATTTTGCTCCCCCACTTCTTTTTAATCCAGGCCCTGTAGTCAATCACTTCTTGGGTCACTTTGATGATTCTACCTAATGTGCTAAAAAAATTTTTCAGTTAAGTATTAAACAAAGACTGTTGGTTACATATTTGCAAGCATTTCAACAAGCAATCAAATTATGCTAAAAGTCACTTTAAGATATCCCTAACCAAAGAATCCTTTTGATCTTTCATTTCCTTAGAGCACCATTTAATCCACTGAAGCATCACAATTTTTAAATTAGTATATTACTTATCTTCTACCATACTAACATGCAAGCACTGACACATAGGTAAGATTTTTACTCTGTATTTCTAAGTGGAGTGCACCTTATTTATCAAGAATGTACATGCAGATATCAGTGTACTTGATAAAAGCGATTTATAGGTTCTTGCATTTCTCCATAAAGAAAATGTTTTCCACAGAATCTGGATTAGAACAGTTATGGGGATGCATTGAAGACATTAATATCCCAGCCCCCCAGCTGACCTTCACACTGAAGACAAAGACCTTCACTAGTCCTTGCTTACAGATTTACAATACAACTTACAAGGTGTAAGATCCCCCCAATTATAAAGGAAGTACCATGGATCGTGAGGTAGTGGAAACAAGAAACAGACTGGCTCCAAAACCAGGATAAGTTAGAATTTAAGAAAATTCATAACAGTAACTGGTTCAGAGAAAGTGCCTACCTGGTCCTGCTGCA